AGATTTTCTGTTTGTCTCAAGTTCCTTCCTCCAACCTCTAAAAAAAAAGAAAATCAGAGCACAAGAAACAATCCTTCACCTGACTTAAAAAAAAAAATTCTTAGAATGTTACACCTTCATTTCCTGTTTTCTACCTTCATTTTGGGGTAACTTTTTCTTTTGATATAATGTCAAACAGAAAAGTTGTAAGAATAGTATAAGGAATTCCTGTGTACCCTTTTCCTGTATACAATTACTTACATTTTTGTCTATTTTAAAAATCATTCTCTCATTTTAATACATATACATTTTTCCCCAAACCGTTGAGACTAAGATAGGGTATGCCCCCTTTACTCCCAAATACTTCAGTGTATAAGAATAAGATCATTTTCTTATACAACCTACAGTTCAATTATCAAAACCAAGTACTTTAACATTGATATAATATTTTTATCTAAATCAGAGTCGATTTTCACATTTTGTCAGTTATCCCCTATAATACCTTTATAGGTATTTTCCCTTCAATTTTTTTACATTATTGTTAAATTATTTGCCTTTTGTCCCAAGATATTTCAATAATCTTTATATTATTGCTATATGTTCTTCACTTATACAGTAGTGTATATTTGATACAGCTTAAAAGGATGGATTAATGAAATACCATAGTAACTGCAAACAAGTTTGAACAATATTTAAATATATCTCAGAAAGATTCAGGCTCCATAATCAGATTCCTCTAGATTTAAACTCTGTCCCCTGTATTCTATGTTAGGTAAATTACTTTGCCTCCCTTTCTCTTTCCTCAACTATAAAATGGGGGTGATAATAATAATTCTTATCCAATAACGATGTTAGAAGTGTTAAATGAGAGAATACATGCTGGGTGCTCAGAATAATGCTTTGTATATAGTTGGTGGTCGATAACTAATTATTTTTACATAGGCACAATCTATGTCAATGTATTGTTGGGTCGAAAGGATCCCAATAATATCAGAACCTTCGGTGGAACTTATATTAAAATAACAAAATGAGAAAAATGCACACCCAAATGATCTAATTCCAAGCAACAACAAGGATACAAAAATAAAACTAACACTTTGTATCATTTCAAGAAAACTGTTCAGTCGCAGATCTATCAATAAAATCAGCTCCAGAGCAACCACTGGTAGTAGTAATATAGCTCCAGTATGAAATCATTTAAAGATTTAAAAACAGAGAGCTGGGCTTCCCTGGTGGCGCAGTGGTTGAGAGTCCGCCTGCCGATGCAGGAGATGTGGGTTCGTGCCCCGGTCCGGGAGGATCCCACATGCCGCGGAGCGGATGGGCCCGGGAGCCATGGCCGCTGAGCCTGTGCGTCCGGAGCACGCTCCGCAACAGGAGAGGCCACAACAGTGAGAGGCCCGCGTACCGCAAAAAAAAAAAAACAAAAAAACAAAAACCCCAGAGAGCTAACTGAGAAAAGGCCATGGTGCACTTTTTAAGGGCCTCAAAGAATTTTATGTTGTAATTCAGTGCACACAGTATTAGAGATGTTGTCTTTCATATGACGGTTCTCTTGCTAAAGGCCTGCCATGAGATTTTTTTTGGATATAGCTTAAGTCAACATCATCAACCATTTCACAATTTTCTGACATCATAAATGCAGCCAGATTTGGACAGAGAGATATGATCAGAGTCAACCAGTGGAAAAGACAATCCTAGCACCTCTGTAAAGAAATCATCTTATAAGGTAACTCAGCTGGTACTTAAGAAGTTGTTTGGTTTTATTAAGGAACAGAAAAAAATTTACAGAAGTATACAGCCTCTATGCTGATATTACTGGAGTTGTTGCTAACTCTGCCTCACTGCAACTCCTAAAAGGCTAACCTGTCCCTCAGTTTACTAACTCAGGGAAACACTGATTGGAAAGGGCTGAACCAATATCCACCAGCTTTTGTAAGCCAAGGTCTGTGCTGACCAGGGTTTAGCATCACCTGCAGCACGGAGGTAGCTTCTGGCGAATTGTTTCTTCATGGAAATATCACACGAGTGGAAAACTCCAAGTGGCATGATCCTCTGCTCTGCTACAAGCCTAGTGACGGAAGTAATCCATCAGGGGAAAATGTCAAGCACATGGATTTGACTCTGCATTTTAAATTCCGATCAGGAAAAGGTAAATTCCTCCTCCTCCTCCAGGATTAAAAAAATAATAATTTTTCAAAATAGTATGCTTCTCAACTTGGCGCGTATTTAAAATACCTTAGCTAGATGCGCTTTGTTACGTTTTGATGTGCTCAAAATGCTATTGATCAATACTGGAAGCAAACAAAATACCCCATTTCCAGCTCTACAAGTGCCCTGCTGAATAACCTTGGAACAGTCACATGGCTTTTTGTATTACATTTGTCCTCTCAATATAAAATGAGGAAGATACTCACAGATGCTGTTGAACTACTAAATACCTTTTAAAAACGTCTAAATTATAAATTTAGACTAAATTCCTTTTTTAAAAAAAACCCTCTGGATTGTCAATGTGGGGGTTCTGAATAGCTATCCTATAAGCCTCTATCTCCCACTTCCTCCCCACTCACTACTTTTAGGTAGAATCTTACTACTTTTTAGTAGCTGTGGTATGAAAAAAAAAATGGTGCAACAGTAAAGATGAAAATTAGACTTTTGAATTTTGTATGTTTCAATGACCTATGCCCTCTTTTCACATTTGTCAGAACAAATGAAAATAACAGGTTTTAAAGAATAATTGAAGTAGAGATGTAAAGACTGATGCTATTTGTTTCGCTGTATGTAATTCATTTCCTCTCACTATAACCTCTACATTCTAGGAGAAAAGTGGAGATCCACTGTCTGACCTCCACCTTCTGTAGCTCTTTGGGTCTAAATAACAAACGGTATTGAACTTTAGACCTCCCATTATTTCACAGGTTTCAGCCTAATAGATTTCCAAATCACACTATTTTTCATGATGTTTTGCCTAAGTCTTTCAACCAACATATCCTCTAGTACCATACAAAATTTGTACTCATTTGTAATCCTTAACATGAACACGTTTAAAAGTTTTACAGACGTTACAATTCAATAGTGGGACAAATCTTGTTTTCCTGAAAAGCACTGAAATCTCTTCCCACGCTAAGAAAGAAAAGTTTTGCCAACATGGTAAAACATAAAGCTGACAGCGTGGCTAAAGAAGGGGCTCTGAGTTTTCAGGCCTTTCACTGTCTTCCTGCATCAAAAATCCATTTCTAGAAAACCAATATAATATCCCCACCAAAAAGCACGAATTTAGCTGATACACAAACATCTGTATTCTGAGTCTCAGTATTGTGTGTTTTTATAATTTAGTATTTTGAATCAGAGCTAATGAAACAGTCTTAAAATTAATCACTTTAAATCCTATGTAATCACAGCTACAAATAAGTCAATCGCTTATGAAATTGTACATCTGAGACTTCTATGAAATACAGAGACTTCTATTAAAAGTTCGAATAAATGTGGTGTGCTAGGTAACTTTCAACAAGAAGGAGCAAACACTTCTGGCTTTGAGCACTGCACTAAAACAACACTTTAAATAATCCTAGTTTGCATCTGCAACACGGATCTGAACTGCTCCCTGCAGCAGACTCCTAATCCCTGAAGGAGATGATCAGATTTTGCACGGAAGCTGGGACGAAGCAACCTGAAAACGGACCACTACTGCTCTATTGGTCCAGGCAGCAGATGGAAGCAGACAGACAAGTTTCAAGAAGTTATCGAATAGGTAATGCGATCGTTACCCGCGCATCACGGAGGAAGGAGAGCAAGAAAAAAGGAGGGGCTTCCAACTTCTGGTCGCCCCTGGACTGCACCCTTCTGCCTTCAGGAGCACGTTGGCTCTGTCAGCTTTTCAAAAAGTCAAACAGCTGTTGGGAGAGAGAACATTTTTCTTGGTTTTGTTTTCCAAGACACGACCCCAGAGCTGTCAGAGAAGAGCCTGGACGCCAGAGGGGCTGGACCCGGAAGGCAAAGGCGCAGCATCTCTGGGGTCTCGGGCACAGGAGCGCCCACCCCTCCCGGCACCTGCGGACAGTTTCTTTTTTTAACTTGCCACACCCAGTGCCCCCCATCCTACCGAGAGCCGGGGGCAGTGCCTGCTCGGAGAGGCGGGCGCCGGCCCCACCCTGCGAAGGGGAGACTCACCTGCTCGCGTGGCCGCCGCAGGCAGGCAGGCAGGCAAGGAGAGGCCGGGGCGGCCGGACGGGCTACGCGGGAGACGGGGCGCCGCGAGGGGCCGCGCTTGGGGAGACGCGGCGGGCGGTCGCCGCGGTACAGTCTGCTAGGTGCCCGCTGCCCAGAGCCTAGCTGCCACGCCCTCGACGTCCGCGGGAGCGGCCGCCTCCGCCTGGGCGCGAGCCGCGTCCTGTAGAGCGAGGCCGTCGGCGTCGCGCGCGCGCGCGCGCCCGGTCCCGCGCGGCTCCGCCCCCCCCCCTCCCCACCTCCGGCGAGCTCTCGCGGCGCAGGCGCCCGGTGTCGACCGCCCGGCGGGGGCGCGCGGGGCCCAATAGCCGGCAGGAAGCGGCCCGCCCTTCGCGTGCGGCCTTGGGGCCGGGGCGGGAGCCTGGCTGCGCGCTCGCACTTGACCTGCATCCGGGTTTTCTTGTTCCGCGCAGGTGAGGGGCTTGGGCGGTCTAGCTGGGGAGGGGGCTTTAGGTGCCCCCGACGGCGGGACCTTTGGCGATCTTCTGGTCTTGCACCGTGACCAGAAATGGCTTATCTCCTTTTCTTGCTTGGTCCCATTCAGTCGGTGGCAAGAATAGTTAGTAGCAATATAATGAACATTTACTGAGGGCTAGTTACTATGTACACTGCAACGTGTGCTTTGCAGGATTTACCTCATTTAACCTCACAACCAGTGAACCGAACATTATTATCCTCCTTTTATAGATGAAGAGGGCTTCCATGTGCTTAATTCCCCAAGGCGAGACAGCAAGTTCGGTGGTTGAGCTATAGGTTGCGTCCGGGTGATGACTCCTTGTCCTGGGCTCTGAACCACGGTGGGCTTCTGCTGCAGCCGCCGCCTCCTCCAACCCCCCCGCAACTCCCCCTCCACCTCCTCTTCATCGTATGTACAATCCTAATAATATTTACATTTCTAATGTTTTATTCCCCGTTTGCAAAACACTTTTCACCGCACAGTCTTCCTTGATTCTCTCAGAAGCCTCTATTTCTTTTACAAATAGAAAGACCAATGGCCTGAGCTGTTCAATGAGTTGTCCAAAGTTACAGTGGTAGGACTGGGGCTTCCTTTGTCAGGTTATTTAAAAAAAAAAAAAAAATTTTTTTTCCAAGGCGTCTGAGCCAAGCTTGGAAGGGAGCCTGTGTTCACAGAGAGGGAAACAGAGGCACAGAACAGGAAAGGAATTTGACTTAAGGTGTGCAGTTAGAGGAAAATCAGCTCTGATCTCCCACATAGTCCCCTCTGAGGCAAAGTGAAGCAAATTGAAGGTCAAAATCAAGGAAGCAGTGCCGTCAGGCACTTAGCCCCTGGGTCATGGGACAGGAAGAAGGATTAAAGTGTGTAGAATACATCTAATCTCTGTTAGATTTAAACTAAGGAAACAGGATTGCATTATGGTCCCAATCATTCTTTAACAATTGACCTGGCACCATCACAGAGATATGTCCAACGGATCACCCCTCTGACTTCCTGTTCATTGCTTGTGTTGTTTCTGTTGCTTCCAACCCTACTGCCCCTTGCGTCCCCCCAAGTTCTCCCTTTCATTCACTTAACAAATATTTATTGAGAGCCACTTCATGCGTTAAGGTCACCCTAAGAACCGCAGTTATTTTTCTTCTCTAAATTTCTCAAACACAGCAACTTCAGCAAAAATTGAGCTTTTAGGTCAAATGAATTTGGAAGTTGCTGCATTCGGTACCCCTGCATGGGGATTCATTAATGCATCTTAACACAGAAATGGCTCTGAGAAGTCCTAAAGTAAAAAGACTGGTTTAGCCTTGTTTAACTCAGGGTTTAGGCCTTGTGCTGGGTACTAGGCTTACAGGGGTAAGGGCCATGCAAATCTATCCCTTCAGGAGCTCACAGGTAGGAGAGACAGATAAGCAAACAACTAACTATGACACAACTTTATATGTACACTGATAGAGGCATTTGCAAAGTGCTGACAAAGCAGAGGAAGGATCGAGCAATTCTACCTGGAAAACTGAGGGAAGGCTTTGCATTAAGAGGATATTTGAGTAGGATTTTTCTAGGTGGAGAATATGGAAAAGGACATTCCATAGAATAATGGCATATTTAGAGATATAAAGGTATGCCTTTATGTTGGTCTTTGGGATAAGTATTAAATATTATTCAAGAGGTTTTGTTTTTGTTTTTTTTGCATGCAATATACCACTCAAACGGGATTAAACAGCAAATGGAATTCATTACCTCATGTAACGCAGAAAAGTTGTGGGCTTCAAGCATGGCTGGATCTAAGGGCTTAAAAGTATGACATCAGGATTTGATCTCCATTTCTTAACTCTGTTTTCCTTCGTGTTGACTTCTTTCTCAGGCTGCCTTTCCCCATGAGATAGCAGAATGGCTGCTAACAACTTCGCATCATATCCTTACCATTAGAGAGTTTCTTTTCTTCAGTGCTGTCAACAAAAGTCCCAGGACTGCATCTCGTTGGTCTAACTTGGGTTACTTGTGCATCATTAAGCCACTCTCTTCAGAAGGGGCGTGGACTATTCTGATAGCCCAGACCTGGGTCATGTGCTAACCTCTGGAGTAGCTCTTAAATCTCATGGACTGAGAATTGGGGAAACGTGGCTTCCTGTGTGACCAAAAATTTTCTCTTGGTCCCTTTATCTACTCTACATTTTTTTCTACCTGATTTGTGCCTTAGGAGATACCAGCATGGACTGCTTCAATGGGTCCCTAGTTCTCTGGCTTACAGTTGAATTTATCCATAGAAGACATTGGAAGCGTGCAGAGGATTGGAGGAGGATGAAGTTAGGCCCCTTCCGCAGGCCCTTTCCCTTCTGGGTCACTGCATGTTGGCCACATACCTCTGTTGAGTCGTCTGTCTAGTGCCCCTCTTCATACAGGTCTCTCCTAGCTCTGGTAGAGTCTCCCTTCTCTTGGCCTAGAGGTGGTAGTAGCTCCCTACTGCTGGCAGCCTCAGAGTTTCATCCTATCATTCCTTCTTGTTTCCCTCAACCCTGCCCACACATTTGTATATAACCTTTACCAAACTCAGCTCAGATTAACCTTCTGCAGGAACCCTGACGGTTACCTTCACCAAAGGTAATTCAAGTTTTTATTACCGAAAGAAAGGGAAATGTGTAAAGAGCAGGCAACAGGCGATAAGATAGCAATACTGATTTGGTAGAGCTATTACAATAAGGCAGGCCAGAGATGACAGTGGCTTGGACAAGGGTTATAGGAAAGGAAGTGGTGAAAAATAGTATGTTCCTGGTGAAATTTAAAGGCAAAGTTAACAAAACTTACTGATGAATTATATGTAAGTTTTGAGCATGAGAGAGGAGTTGGGATAGAAGCAGCTGGAAGACACAGGTCTGGAGCCTAGGAGTGGGCTCAAACCAAGCATAGTGATTTTGGAAGGAGGTGTGCAGGGTAGTTGAAATCATTAGCTCAGGTGAGATGACCTCAGAGGAACAGGTGGAAAAGAAACACAAAAAGGGCAAAGGGCCGAATCCAGAACAACATCAATCTTTTCATGGTGGGCAGGGGGAGAGGTGCCATCTTATATCTATCAACTAGGTTGTGAGCAACTTAAGAACAAGAATGGAATCTTCCACATCTTCCCTCTTACATTGTGCCCACGGTGTATAAGTGCTTGTTATGAACGAACTTCACGTAGTTTTATATTTCTAACACTCCCTCCCTCTCCTCTTCATCATTGTGAGGTTTGAGTTACAGGCAGAGAAAAAAAGAGAGAGAAGTTGATCCCTTGTGACTCAATCCATTGAAACCTATGCCAAGGTTGATAAGCATTTTTGCTGTCCTGAAAAACTCAAGTAGAACTCATCAGATAAGGCTACAGATCCTGAGCAGCTCATCTCTTACCTTGGAGGAGAATTTCCAGACGGATGATTTCATTTCAGATTTTGTTATTCTTATCTGAGTAGACTTAAAAGTCAATACTTTAAAAAGTCCTTATTAGGGACTTCCCTGGTGGCGCAGTCGTTAAGAATCCGCCTGCTAATGCAGGGGACACGGGTTCGAGCTCTGGTCAGGGAAGATCCCACATGCCGCGGAGCAGCTAAGCCCGTGAGCCACAAATACTGAGCCCACGTGCCACAACTACTGAAGCCCGTGTGCCCTAGAGCCGGTACTCCTCAACAAGAGAAGCCACTGCAATGAGAAGCCTGCGCAGGGCAAGAAAGAGTAGCCCCTGCTCGCCGCAACTAGAGAAAGCCCGTGCGCAACAATGAAGACCCAACGCAGCCAAAAATAAATAAATAAATTTATAAAAAGTCCTTATTAGGTTTGTGCTATGGAATTAATAGAAATGATAAAAGATCTCCATCTCACACTCCAGTGTTGCTGGTGGAATGTAAAAGGAGACAACCAATTTTGGGGAACTTTTGCCAGTTTTTCAAGCTAAGTGTACATCTACCCTGTGGCTCGGAAATTCAACTCCTAGTTATATATTCACAAAAAATGTCAGCAAATATCCCCCCAAAGGGGGAGGGGTTGTACAAGAATGCTTTTAACATCTTTATTCATTCATAATATGCACAAACTGGGAATATTATAAATGTTCATCAAAAGAAGAATGGATAAGCAAACTATGGTATATTCCAACAATGGAATACTACACAGCCATAAAAAGAATAAACTACTGATACACATAACAGCATAAATAAATCTCAAAAAACTGTTGGGCGAAAAGAAGGCAGACACCGAAGAGTTATAGATGTATGATTCCATTTACATGAAGTTAAATAAAAGGCCAAACTAACCTATGGTAATGAGCATCAGAATAGTGGTTGCATCTGAAGGATGGAGATTGACTGGAAAGGGGTACAAAAGAACATTCAGGGAACATTCACATTTATTGGATTTCTACTATTTGCCCAGCACTGTTCTAGGCATTGAGAAGATAGTGGTGAACAAAACAGACCATGTCCCTGCTTTTATACAGATCTAAGTTCTTTTCATTGGCTGCGTAGCATCAATGCACTTTAAATAGAAAAAAGTGGCCTTTCTTTAAATATAATCAATGACAAGTCTGAGGAACTTTCTTCTCCATTTTTTTAGTTGCTGGTGGGAAGGCAGCAAAATACAATGGAAAGAGCATGGGCTTCAGGAAGTCAGCTCCACCATCACTGGCGGTGTGATCTGCGAGCAGTTTCTTTAAACCCACTGAACCTCACTTTTCCAGTCTGTTGAATGACAGTGATGATATCTGCACTGCAGGGTTGTTTTCTAAAGAGCTAGACCCATTACAGATGCTCAGTAAACATTAGTTGGGTTATTATCAGTTTACAAGTAAATGTTATTCAAGGCAGCAATGTGTTACCTCCCTTGCAGCTAGGCATAAATTAATTTTGCCTAGTGAGATATGAGCAAAAGGAAGCTGACTTAGCTGGGAGAGGTACCCTGTGCACTTCTACTGTTCCTCTTTCTTCTAGCCTGCAA